CTCTTTCAACTTGTAAAATAACGTTAATTTAACATACCCTTAAATAACTACATCACGTTTTTCAGAACAACACAAACTGCAGAAAACGTTAGCTGCTAACTGTTGTTAGCTAAGACAGCTAGCTCGTAACAATAGCCTCCTAGCAAACTTAAGGTTACGTTAACATTAACTTAACGTTGTAAGAAAGCAAAACAAACCTTCGAGAAATATTTTACTCTCAGACTGGGTGTAATTGTGTAGCATTGCTTACCTCCAGAAGGACTTTTAGCTGTTTCCCAGTAGAAACTAGAGAGAGCTGTCAGAGCGGTTGCTCGCAGAAGAGCAGCATTGGGCGGATCAGAGAAGAACCAGTTAGTGTCAATCTTGTGGTGCTGTTGCTTTGGTCTGGGTCTCTGGGTCTGTGAGCTAACCACGCCCCGTTCTTTGCATATAAGGAATGGAAATGTCTCATCATGAAATGTCTCATCATGAAATACAAGTCACCTGAAATAAATAAATGCGTCATTATGAAATACAAGTCATCTGAAATAAATAAATATGTCATTATGAAATACGATTCTCTTGAAATAAATAAACGTGTCATTATGAAATACAAGTCTCTTGAAATAAATGTGTCATTATGAAATAAAAGTCTCATGAAATAAATAAATGTGTATTTAAATGTACATGTATACATATTTATTGCCTCATTTATTTATTTCATGATTTATTTCATAGGCATATTTATATATATATGTATTTATTTAATTATTGATGTATTTATTTATTTATTTAATTTTGGCTTAAATGGCATTCTATAAGAAGAAGCTTAAAAATGTTTTTGAGTATTTATAGTATTTTATTTTGTTCAAAAAAACTTTTCGAGTATTTATTTTTATTTTTATACCTTGAAAGTTTTTTGTTATTTTGCTTCTTTTTATTATTATTTTTTTTCTTTTGTTTGTTTAGTTTTGTTTTAACATAAAAACAAACTAAATACAAGAAAAAAGAAGAAAAAAAACAACAACATTAAAGATTACAATTGTGAGAAATCTATTTGTGTCTGTTGGACAGAGCAAATTATGCAACACAGAGCCATTTTCGTTACCAGCTCTTACATCAATACCAATAGACATGTCACAAGACTAAGCCACATGAGCGTTATTTAGAAATGTGTTGTTGCAGCAGACTGGATTACATACATTTGAAAAACATGAACTAGTTGACAAATTAGAACTATAACACTTGCTGGTTATTTCATGTATTTATAATAATCATTTGCCAATGTCACTTCATTTTCTGTTTTGCACAAATGTTTTAGCAATATTGTATTAGTTGATATATATTGATGCATGACTTGCTGCTGTGTTTGTTAATGTAGACAAATAATTGATTTACATTATTATTGTCATTACGTTATTTATTAGATAACAGCAGAGAGGGACCAGGCGATGTCCTTCACCAAATTTAACTTACATCAAAATACATAAGTATAAATGTCAAAATATATTTAAAGTACGAAAAGTATAAATACTCAGAATGCAGAATGGCAAATGTCAGATTAATATACGGTATATTACATATCTAGATCCCAATTCATATTGTGTTTATCACATCAATGTTGCAGCTGGTTAGGTGGGATTTATAATAATATTACTTCATATACTATTGGGTAGAGAAATAACACATTATAATTAAATAGATCAATTCATTTGACCATCCTAAAAGACATTTAATAAATACAGTTATCACATAATACTTTTTATTAATTACGTGAATTTGAACTGGTCAAATTGTTTTTTATGAACATATATATTACTTTACTTCTTTTTCTATTAAAGCCTTTTTCCTTTAGTCCTTGTTCCTGTTTTTGAAAGCCTCTAAGCAACATTTTGTGACTGAGCCACAATATGGAGAAATCATACACACAAAAGGCTTTGGTAACTCGGCACCTCCACTTTTAACCACACAGAAGGGTTGTGTAAACACCAGTCCTTTCTCAACCTGGCAACATTTATTTCAACAGTCTCAGAAGTGTAAATGATTTGGTATTTGTTAATAAAACCATTAGTTATAACTCACAAATCTTAATAAAGGCTGCACAATGCTGGAATTCAAGCTTTAAAAAAAAGGTGTTTCTTTCCTATTTTAAAAAATATATATAATCCCTAAACTTGCAGTTTTGGCTTATAATATTCCATAGGGTTTTAAAACATTTATTAACATGCTTATTGTATTTTTCATGTGTGGAAGGAACAAAAAAGAAAATCAACAGGCAGCTCCGCAGGTGGCTTAGAATACCTCCAAGATTCACAAGGACTGTGCAGCCTGCCAGCTACGATTTACTGTCATCCGTGGTGCAGGAGTTCAAGGTGGCAAAGTGCAGATTCATGTTGACCATCAGAGAATCTAAGGACAGAGACGCAGGCATTAAAACAAGATCTTTGTTTTGCTATGTGTGAGATGATCTACTGCATTGTAATAATGAGTTGTTTGTTCTTCTGTCTGCTTCCATTAGCTTTAAATCGGAGATGTCTTTGGGAAGAACAGATTACATTTATCTGGATAATGAAATCAGGATTAAAAAAAATCCCTACAGATAAAGAAAAAATAAGTCAGATAACTGTTACATTTCTCTGCATTGTGTATAACTAGCAGGATTACAGTTTTAGTAAAAACCTAAAAAGATGATAGTGTTTGTTGTAAAGGATCAGATGTTATCTCTTCTCTGTGAGCTGTAGGCTACTGTTCTGCAGGATAATACTTTAAGTGTGAATCTATACTTCTACTGCCTGAATCTGCTTTATGGTTTTCACTTTCTTTGCTTAATTTGTTCAGTTTTTAATTCAGCAGGTGAACCTATATGTTCATAAAATAGTGTGTGTGAGCTTAACTGTGTGTGTTAAACTAAAACGGAGCATTTTCTGTCAGCTCAGATTTTATTTCTGCTTTTCTAAACTGTAGTATGTGCTCATGTGTTTCATTGTTGGTGTATAGGCTACTGCCCGAATATGCTGAATGAAAGGCAACTTTTCCTATCAATACAATTATTTTTTATCCTAAATATCCTGGTTTCTGCTCTTCTAATGTCATATTGTTCTGTTGTTGCACATAATACAATAAAAAAAAACATCTTATTGTAAATTATTTTCTCTTTATTTATTTGCCTTGCATTTGATATTGAGGTAATCCAAAAGTCGAGTAAGGTAATCGGTTTACATTACCTTTACTTATCTATCTATATTGGCTTTTTCCGTGTTCGTGCTCTGAGTGTGTAGCATTAAGGTTTATTGCGCTTATTGTAAGTTGCTCTGGATAAAAGCATCAGCTAAATGTACATGATTTGCTCTGTTAATTCATCAATTAATGTTTCATATGCCATTGACTGCTTAAACATGTAGCCTGCTGGGAAACATCTTACACAAACCCCAGTGGGTTTGAAGTAATAACTGCCACTTCCAGTTCAGCTGGATTTGTCAACGTTTGTTGAACAGAATACCTTATAAGGATGGGGGTTAGTTGTTTTCCCCACATATATAAGTTGGAACCTTCTGTTTCAGGTACTGTATCTCTCTGCTTCTGTCCTGTAACCAGCCATGATCCTGCAGGCAGCTGCGCTCAGCTTCCTCCTCTGCTGCGTGCACACTTACACCCTATGGGTAAGCATCAGCACACACTTCACACACAATTAACTTTAAATAATAACAAAATACATACACATTTTTATGAAACACTTTGAAATTACCTATGATACATTTTGAACTGTAACAATCCAATATAGAAATGTCCTTCAACAATACACATCAGTATGACATTTAGTTTTTAAGTTTTTTGGATTGCTTTATGCATGAAATAAGATTGTTCTGTATCAAAAGATGTACATTTATATTTGAGAAATCCTAATACTGTCTTTATAGGACCTCCATCAGTCGTCTCATATTTAATTAAAATATATTTTCATGCACTGGTCAATTTTGAGAGTTTGCTTCCATAACATGTCTTCTTTATAGTGGAAAGAAAATATCAAAATAGACGTTAAGGTGTTTATTTGACTACCTTTTGTGCTTCTGAACATTTACCCTAAATTCACCACAAAATGAGCATTAGAAAATGTCTCATTTACACATTTAAACATGCTTGATCAGAAAACTTGCAAACAATTGTTGTCTTAATGTAGGTCATCAACTGGGATTTGGATTTGATTGTGATATCTATAAGCTATTATTTTATTACCCTATTTATCTTTAGTGTCTCCTCTAAACTAGCTTTTACTGTTTATTATTGCAGGCTCCTTTTGAAAAGACTGAGGAGTCCTCTGGTAAGACAGGGCTACTTTTCAAACTTTAAAATGCTCTAACTATTTACTCAGACTTTTTAACTGATTGTTTCTATTCCAAAGGCAACACCATTGAGGATGAGACCCTCAGTGTCTCTGAGCTGTTGGAGAGGGCCAATGTGGATGTTGGTATGTATCTGCACTGCAATCATTCATTATGTATTCCCCTTGGCTGTGAATATTCATTAAAGATAATCTTACATTCATTTGAAACAAATCAAATCAAGAGACAGTGACACCACACTGTCTCAGTTTGACACCGTTCATTAGAGCAATAATCTGGTTTCAGCACTATTATATATACTAACATTTATTTTTGTTTTACACACATTTGTACTTATTAATTGTGGTTTTATAGTGTTATACACTTTGAAAATGTTTCTTTAACTTTAATTTGATTTATTTTGTATTTAACTTTTATTTCAAAATGAAGTCTCTGTTATGCAACCCTGCTTCCCCCGGGCTTATTAAAAGTATATCTGATTCAGATTTGAAAGAAAGATGAAGGCATGTTCTTGATCATGCTTGCGTCATCTTGCAGGAAAGAACTTTGACGAGCCGATGGTGATGTTTGGAGACATCGCCGTGCCCACAGGTCTGCAGAACGCTGATCCCTGCACAGCGCGAGGCTGCCTGTGGCCCAAAGCCACCGACGGAAACGTCTACGTACCCTACCGCATCTCCAACCAGTACTGTGAGTACTGAAGGCAGGGTCTTATATGATTAGTGTTCACATTTCATGCACACAGTATGCATTTTTAGCGGCAGCAATACTAGCAAGTGATGGCTCAATGTCCCTTTTTCTTGAATATTAGGCAGTATACTGATACCATTAGCAATATGTATATCTTGTTAGGCATCATTTTAACATGTTAATTTGTATTGAAATGAACTTTTCTCAACCAAAGATCCAGTGATTTTGACCACTACTGTATATGGCCAATACGTAATATTGAATCGGCGCATCCACCATTAAAAGTAGCAGTATAATAGAAGCAGTAGAAGTAAAGGTAATAATTTATCTAGTGGTAGTAGTATGAAAGGTGTCCTCCACTGACTTTAAAGAAACATTTATTAAATTAGATGTGGAATCTTTTTGACGATTTTGGCTTTTCTACTGTACAAATGTATTTGCTGCTTGATAGCATAACTTGCACTGAACTTTAAAGTTCTTTCCATTTTCCTAATGGTAAAAGCCATTTTGTATGATCAGTGTAGTTATGTGTGCATATGTGCATAATGTTTGGCTCGAAATACCAAACAGATCATTGCAGCATCCCATAAACCCCTCTGTTTCAGCCCTGTTTCAAAAGTGCTGATTCTGGGTCTGTTACTTTAGATCAGGGGTTCTCAACCTTTTTTGGGCCAGCGCCCCCCTGTCCATTATCCAGGTCTCTTACCGCCCCCCATCAAAAAAAGTAGATTTATTTTCTTCCCTGAATATTAATGTTGACTAATATTCTGTGTTATATCATTTAAAAAGCATGTCACTGAATGCCAAATAATAGATTTGATTTAACTGGGCAGTTGGAATATCATTATCATTAGTTTACCAGAGAGCAGAAAAGCCATGTGAATGTGAATAAAAATGATATTTATTAGTGTTAAACAAACTCAGACAAGAGCAGAGAATACAAACAGACTGCTACGGAACAGCAGCAATTTCACACATGTCCAGTGCAGAACAAACAGTAGGCTACAAAACTGTACATTAGGCCTACAGAACTAACAGGTCGGAAAGGTGTTGCATTTCGCCAAATTGCGGGGGGGGGAAGGTTAGTGTGAGCCCTGCGCTTGGTGGTTCTCCGCCAGTTTCTTCACTGCGGGTTGCAGAGAACTTAGTTTCAGTCGCAGTGCACCTGAGGCCGTCAAGTTCAAGCGATTGCGGTACTTGGACTGCAT